AGTTTTCTGAAATTCCAGGGGCAAATGAAGTTTTTGCCCATGCTTGATAGATTAATGCATAAAAGTAACATATGTAACCAATTACATTAATTTAGCATTTACACTCAGATAAACCTTTCAACCATAGGTTTGTTATAATTCTTCCTAAGGGGTAGCAAGATAGACTCAGGGTTTTTTATTCTTATATAAATCACAGCAGGTCTCCTTAAACCTCTTAGGTTTGGGAGTAGTTTTTTCTTATATTGATCCTGACTCGTGACCTGAAGGGTCCTAGGTCAAGACCCTCACCCTTTGTTCCTCTCCTTCCCCAGTGAGCAAAAGGGAGTATAAAAGGGTCAGACAGTAGACTCAGGAATGCACCATGGGCTCTCAGCCGAAATATGGAACTCATTCCTGCCGTCCTGGCATTGTCTTGGTGAGCATGGCACTTCTGCAGTTGGGCTGCTGCACAGGAAGGCATGGCCACCCAGCCACCAATGCCTGTGGCATTTCTCTACCCTCTGCTGTGGAGTCCTGGAAAGTTTGTAGGGACCAGTGGACTAGCTGACTGGGTAGCTGGAGTCTGACATAGGGACAGGAACATTGCTGCTTCTCACTGTTACCAGCAGAGTTAGGCCCCTCATTGTGGCCTTCAGTGCCAGAAACTGGCAGGAAGACTTGAAGCCTAATTAGGTTTCCTCATGTTTGTTTTGTTGTTGTTTGTTTGCCTTATAGGTGAACTATAAGATTTTTCCAAAGGGCTTTCAAATAGAATAGAAAGCCATTTTTAAACATGACTCATGGTTTGAAGGAGTGGCTTAAGTGGTAGGGCACCTTCCAAGCAAACATGAGGCCCTGAGTTCAATCCCCAGCACTGCACACATGCACGCACACACACATAGACACACACACACACTAAACATGACAAACACACACACACACACACAAAACCAAACAAACAAAAACAGCAATTCTCTTCCAGAGCCAAGGCCAACAGATGGGAATCTTTTAACAGAAATGGACACAAGTTCCCTCCAAAATCAAATGGAAATGAAACCTTAGATTCCCTAGTGTCACTTAACTGGAATCTGCTACCCTCAAAATGGTATCAAAAGATGACCTCCTTTCATGTGGCCAGACAGAGGTCCCTGAGTGGGACCTTCCCAGACAGGCCAGATCAGGCTTCAAGGTGCCCACCAGAGTGACAGCTTTGGCCACAGTAGTCACAATTTTTTCACAATAGAAATCACAAACACAAAAACCCTGGTCTCTGTATGTACCTTACATGCTTTTCCTACTAATTGCCAGCACAATTACAGGGTCCACAGTTCCCTGTCAGACAAATGGCAAAAATCCAAATTAGTTCAACTGAACCCAAAAGGGTCTCCAGAGAGCCTCCACACTACAAGGAATCGAGAAGTTCCCTGCCAGACAAACAGCAAAAGCCCAAATTAGTACAAATGAACCCCAAATGGCTCAGAATAACCTCCAGACAACAGAGAAAAAGGAAGGGCAAGGCCCTAGGTGCACCAACTGGGAAGAACTTACCAAGGATTAGACTTCAAGGCATAGATGGAGTTCAAATGTTTATTTCTCTGCCTCACCAAAGCATGGTAAAAAGCAGCCAATGTTGGTTGAAGTAGAAAGATAAGAAAGAAGTCCCTGGAAAATAGGAATTCCAGCATCTGCTTGAAACCATTCTATTTTTCCTCTCCATCCAGGGTCAAATATCTTTGAGTAGCTAAAACTAAAGAGTGTATCTTGATTCTTTTTCATGGTTGCCAAATGTGTTACAGATTTTAGGTCACAGGTCCAAACTCATGGGTTTCATAGGCTAGGTTCAGTCACTGGCCTTAGAATACCTTATTTATTTAAGAGATAGTAATGGTGACAGCAGAGGAAGGGAGTTTATTACACAACACAGGCATGCCATGGGAAGAGGAAAGATAAGCATTTCAACCCATCTTCCCTGTACAGACATTCACTTTTGGTTTAACTAGGAGTAAGAATTGGAGGTAAGAGAAAATGTGCATAATTATTAAAAAGTCACAGTCATAGATAAGTTCCAGTGATAACAGGCGGCTGGCAACCACAAGCAGTCTTCTGTTCAGTCCTTCTTGCATTACAAGATGGGTACAAAGTGACTGAAGGAGAAAATGACTCACCAAATGATACAGATACAGAATGGAGGCTTGGATGCCTAGCTTTTATCCTGCTTTCATGTAATTCATGGGCCCAAGTAAAGAGTTGGTGCTGTTCAGCAAAAGCAGCTTTTAAGTACGTTATATAGAGACCTTTTATCTATTTTGAGTTAATTGTACATGAGGTAATATACATATACATGTATATTTTGTATGTAAAAATCTAGTAGTACCAGCAACATTTTTGAAAGACCATTCTTTTCCCCCATTTAATGATCTTAGGAAAATCAACTTACATATCTGAGTGCTTATTTCTGGATCCTCAATTCTGTTCCACTGATTTGTATTATCTCTGCTTGGGCCAGTATCACACTGTCTTAGTTACTGGTACTAAGTTCAGTCAGTCAAGAAATCAAGAATGTGAATCTTCCAAGTCTTTTCTTTTCCAAAAGATTGTTTGGTCTATTCTGGATCTCTTGCATTGCCATATAAATTTTAGGATAAGCTTTTTGATTGTCAACTTCTGCAAAGAATACTATGATTTTAAATCTGTATATCAATTGGAAAGATATGGTCATCTTATCAATTGCTGATCCAAGGCATACCTTTCCATTTAATTTGGTATTAAATGTCTTCCAACAATTTTTTTTTATTTTTAGAGTATACACTTTGCACTTCTTTTGCTAAAGTGTAAATGGTAATGTTATCATTTTTAATTTCATTTTCCAATTGTTTATTATGTTGCTGGTATATACAAATACAATTGTTTTTAAGTATTGGCCTATACCAAAAAAACACATGAAAAAATGCTCACCATCCCTAGCAATAAAGGAAATGCAAATTAAAAACCACACTAAGATTCCACCTCACCCCTGTTAGAATAGCCATCATTAGCAACACCACCACCAACAGGTGTTGGCGAGGACACGGGGAAAAAGGAACCCTCTTACACTGCTGGTGGGAATGTAAAGTAGTACAACCACTCTGGAAAGAAATTTGAAGGCTACTTAAAAATCCAAACATTGATCTACCATATGATCCAGCAATACCACTCTTGGGGATATACCCAAAAGACTGTGACACAGGGTAGTCCAGAGGCACCTGCACACCCCTGTTTATTGCAGCACTATTCACAATAGCCAAGTTATGGAAACAGCCAAGATGCTCCACTACTGACAAATGGATTAAAAAAATGTGGTATTTATACACAATGGAATTTTATGCAGCCATGAAGAAGAATGAAATGTTATCATTCGCAGGTAAATGGATAGAACTGGAGAACATCATTCTGAGTGAGGTTAGCCTGTCCCAAAAACCAAAAATTGTATGTTCTCCCTCATATGTGGACATTAGATCAAGGGCAAACACAACAAGGGGATTGGACTTTGATCACATGCTAAAGCGAGAGCACACAAGGGAGGGGTGAGGATAGGTAAAACACTTAAAAAACTAGATAGCATTTGTTGCTCTCAACACAGAGAAACTAAAGCAGATACTTTAAAGCAACTGAGGCCAATAGGAGAAGGGGACCAGGAACTAGAGAAAAGGTTAGTTGAAGAAGAATTAACTTAGAAGGTAACACACATGTACAGGAAAGCAGTGTGAGTCAACTCCCTGTATAGCTATCCTTATCTCAACTAGCAAAAACCCTTGGTCCTTCCTATTATTGCTTATACTCTCTCTTCAACAAAACTAGAGATAAGGGCAAAATAGTTTCTGCCTGGTAGCAAGGCGTTGTGGAGGTAAGGGAGGGGGCAGGAGGGGGAAGGGAGGGAGTCGGGGGAAGAGGGGAGAAATGACCCAAACATTGTATGCACATATGAATATAATAAAAAAGAAGAAAAAAAGTATTGGCCTATATTCTGAAGCCTTACTAAGTCAATCTGTTTATTGTGGTTTCTTTGCTAATTTATCAGATTTTCCTATGTAAACAATTATTTTTTCACTTTTATTTTTGAATTGTCATACGTTAATATTACAAGGGGATTTCATTGTGACAATTCTGTACATGCATACAGTGTACCCCCTCCATTTTATTTCTAGTCTCCCTTTTTCTCCCTCTTTTTAAACAAGACAAATCTTTATGCCTTTAATTTCTGTTTTTCCAATTGCACTGACTAGGAAGTCTACTTTAATGAATAAAACTTGTGAATGCATACAGCTTCCCTCTGATCATAGGAAAAAAAAGCATTTAGTTATTGCTAAGTGTGATGTAAGCTGTAGGATTTTCCTTAGCCATCCTAGAGTCTTCATAAAGGGACCTAACCCTGATTAAATCAAGAGACACCAACATTAAGGATGGGACTTCCACTGGAGTCTTTGATATTTATTCAAAAAAACTTTTCCAAGCATGGGGCAGAAATCCAAACTATACTAGAATAAGCAAAAAGGGAAATGCTGTCATGTGTAATAAGAACAACTAAGGAGTCTGTATACTTCATGTACACAGGGATTGGGCAATGGAAATGTCACCATACCAATATCCCTCTCCATCTCTTGACTCTCATTTTTCACATTTCCTGCATCTCTAGCAGATCCCACACCCCCACCACACTATTTTGCCAAAGACATCAGCAGCAGCACCCAACTTATGGCCAACCCATCTAATAGAAAAGGTGAGCTTCATTTTTCAGTAATTCTGCAAAACATTCTCAGAACTCATTATTTGGACCAACTCAGGTCACATGGCCATCCCTGAACCAATCATGTGGCCAAAGGAATGGAATGCTACAATCGGTTAAGCCTAAGCCACATGCTCCCCAACTTGGATCGAGAGGAGGGGTTGAGACCTACTCAAGTTTTTCCTAAGGAAAAGGCAAAGTATTACTGTCATAAACTGAGGGAATAGGCACTAGCCAGACATAAACTACACCACCTATACCCTTGTGCATATTTCTCAGTGTTCCGTGTCTGGCACTATCACTGGACCTCTTTGAGCCACAGTTTCCTATTTGTAGCATGCAGGTGATGATCCCTGTAGTTCTTGGCTCTACCTGAAAGGTCCAGTGAGGCAGTGTGTACCAGGAAACTGTGTCTAAACTGTAAAGTGTGGTGACATGTAAGGAAAAGGTCACAAGCATGATTACTAAGCAGTTGTTCTGACCCATCTCTCCTCTTCTGTTTTTCTCACAGAGCATTTGAAGAAGCCACTTGAAGACTACATGGCCCTTTTCCCTAGCGTGAGAATTCTCCGAACCAAGAAACGTGAAGGCCTAATAAGGACCCGCATGCTGGGGGCCTCAGCAGCAATTGGGGATGTCATCACATTCTTGGATTCACATTGTGAAGCCAATGTCAACTGGCTCCCCCCCTTGCTTGGTAAGTGGTGGTGGCCGGGGGAACAGCCTGAGTGGGTCAGTGGCAGCTGGTTCATGGAATGTGTTTCATGGAGGCCTCACATGGGCTCTTCTGTCTGATTGGAAGCACTCCTCAGAACACCAGGTGCTATAAGGGGTTCAGAGCTCATAAGACATTAAAAACAAGTCAGCCCTGTCTCTTAATTTCACAAAGAGGGAAGCTGAAACTCAGAAAGGGAAAGTGTCACACATCTAGTGATGATACTGCTTCCCTCAGATTGCCCTAAGTTTTGTTTGAAAGCAAGGCAAGGCTATCTATCTACTATTAAGAACCAAATCATGGAGAGGACATCTTTATGTCAAATGAGAAGAGTTACTGTTTACTGTGGCAGTACTGTGAGCCAGGCAGGTTATAACCGTGATCTCTAATCCTTACAAGAGCATAAAGGATGGAAGTATCCCTTTTTGTAGTAAAAGAAACTGAAGTTAAAAGATATTGAGTGGCTTCAATACCTGACTTCAAACTATATTACAAAGCAATAACAATAAAAACAGCATGGTACTGGCACAAAAACAGACATGAAGACCAGTGGAACAGAATAGAGGACCCAGATATGAAGCCACACAACTATAAGCAACTTATCTTTGACAAAGGAGCTAAAAATATACGATGGAGAAATAGCAGCCTCTTCAACAAAAACTGCTGGGAAAACTGGTTAGCAGTCTGCAAATAACTGAAACTAGATCCATGTATATCACCCTATACCAAGATTAACTCAAAATGGATCAAGGATCTTAATATCAGACCCCAAACTCTAAAGTTGATACAAGAAAGAGTAGGAAATACTCTGGAGTTAGTAGGTATAGGTAAGAACTTTCTCAACGAAACCCCAGCAGCACAGCAACTAAGAGATAGCATAGATAAATGGGACCTCATAAAACTAAAAAGCTTCCGTTCATCAAAAGAAATGGTCTCTAAACTGAAGAGAACACCCACAGAGTGGGAGAAAATATTTGCCAACTATACATCAGACAAAGGACTGATAACCAGAATATACAGGGAACTTAAAAAACTAAATTCTCCCAAAACTAATGAACCAATAAAGAAATGGGCAAGTGAACTAAACAGAACTTTCTCAAAAGAAGAAATTCAAATGGCCAAAAAACACATGAAAAAATGCTCACCATCTCTAGCAATAAAGGAAATGCAAATTAAAACCACGCTAAGATTCCACCTCACCCCTGTTAGAATAGCCATCATCAGCAACACCACCAACAGGTGTTGGCAGGATGCGGGGAAAAAGGAACCCTCTTACACTGTTGGTGGGAATGTAAGACTAGTACAACCACTCTGGAAAAAAATTTGGAGGCTACTTAAAAAGCTGGACATCGATCTACCATTTGATCCAGCAATACCACTCTTGGGGATATACCCAAAAGACTGTTACTCCAGAGGCACCTGCACACCCATGTTTATTGTGGCACTATTCACAATAGCCAAGTTATGGAACAGCCAAGATGCCCAGCACTGACGAATGGATTAAGAAAATATGGTATCTATACACAATGGAATTTTATGCAGCCATGAAGAAGAACGAAATGTTATCATTCTGGTAAATGGATGGAATTGGAGAACATCATTCTGAGTGAGGTTAGCCTGGCCCAAAGACCAAAAATCGTATGTTCTCCCTCATATGTGGACATTAGATCAAGGGCAAACACAACAAGGGGATTGGACTATGAGCACATGATAAAAGCGAGAGCACACAGGAAGGGGTGAGGATAGGTAAGACACCTAAAAAATTAGCTAGCATTTGTTGCCCTTAACAGAGAAACTAAAGCAGATACCTTAAAGCAACTGAGGCCAATAGGAAAAGGGGAACAGAAACTAGAGAAAAGGTTAGATCAAAAAGAATTAACCTAGAAGGTAACACACATGCACAGGAAATCAATGTGAGTCAATGCCCTGTATAGCTATCCTTATCTCAACCAGCAAAAACCCTTGTTCCTTCCTATTATTGCTTATACTCTCTCTACAACAAAATTAGAGATAAGGGCAAAATAGTTTCTGCTGGGTATTGGGGGGGGAGAGGGAAGGGGGCAGAGTGGGTGTAAGGGAGGGGGTGGGGGCAGGGGGGAGAAATGAACCAAGCCTTGTATGCACATATGAATAATAAAAGAAAAATGAAAAAAAAAAGATATTGAGTGGCTTGCTTATGCCCTTGGGCCACCAGTGTCAAAATCACCATCTATCTGGCTCCAAAGTCTATTCTTTTTCACAGTTGCACACTGCTTCCCAAGTTCACTTCCTCTCAGGAAGGAGTTTCAGACAGATACCAGGGAGAGCTGCAGTAAGAGAGCAGCATAATCTAGGGGCATTCACCACAGCCTGTGGGCAAAGGGAGACATGGGAGATTGGGTGCTGGGGAGGTGCCACATAGCCAGTTGATGATCAGGCCTGATCCTGAGTACTTCCACTCTGATGAAGGCATTGAGCCCCTGCTGCCAAGCCAACATGGGAGAGAAGAGTTCTCTTGACACTGAGAGGTAGGGCAGGGCCAGGGCTGGGGAAGGTTTAGGAAGTTAACCATCTACAGAGAAAAGTAAGCTTCTCAAGAGTGGATGGTCAGCTATCCATCACAGAGAATTTAGAAGGAAAAGAAGATGGAAGTGGAGGGGAAACTTGAGCAAGCATCAGATTCATCTGAAAGAGGATAGGCATAGTGGCTCACATCTGTAATCCTAGCTATGCAGGAGGTAGAGGCAGGAGGCTCACGAATCTGAGGCCAGCCCAGGTAAAGTTAGCATGAACCCCTGTCTCAAAAACAAAAGGGCCAGGGGTATAGCTCAAGTGATAGAGCACTTGCCTAATATGCATGAGGCCTGGTGTTAATCCCCAGTACTGTAAGTAAATAAATAAATAAACAAATAATTTTTAGTCATCTGAAAGACTGACCAGTTCGCAGGTGATGCTTGTGTTGCTGGTCCAGAGGTCACAGTGAGGAAGTGTGAAGACTAAAAGCCAACCACAGAATTAAACAGAATGTTTCATAACACAGATCAACAGGGAACTTTAGTAATAAATTATGTGCCTCTGACACCCAGGTCTAGGATCTCATCTGGGTTAGGAAAAAAGATGTAACCCAGAATTTCTGGTAAACTGTTTATTTAATTAAGCCAAGAGAGTGTCTGCATCTGCCTCTCATAACTGAAAGAGAAAAAAAAAGAAAAATCCTCACCATAAATCACCGAATTTATGGTCCTGGAGGAACAAGCCATTTGTAGGGTCACTCTGCGACTCATAAAGAGAATGAAGTGGTGGGGTGCAAAGCTGAGCTCATAGTCTAAATAGCCCTAAACTCTGTTTCTATGGAAATGTATGAGGGAAATTTTCATAATCTGCAGACACGCATGGAAGAAACATCTCCCTTCTTTTTTTTCCTGTTTCCAATAGAAATGTGAATCTGTGGTGTAGATTTGCAAGTCTCTCCCTCTAATAGCAGCAGCTGACAAAGTGCAGCATGGCTTTTGTCTGTGAAACCATTAACACCTCTGTGCATGGCTCACTCTGCCTTCTTTAGAGATTAGACATTTCTGAGCCTAAGAAGGAGTCAACCCCCACAGGAAAGCCACTGTTGGTTATCATTTTCTCCTCCTCCTCCTCCTCCTCCTCCTCCTCCCCCTCTTCCAGAATCCTTCTCTTTCTTCTTCTTCATCATCATGCTCATTGTCATGGTGGCTCTAATAGTCGACTCCTCAGCATTTTCAGCCATGTCCACATTTAAATTTGACTGTGGCCTAGCCTGTCTGCTTCTCTGTCCACATTATTACCCACATTTTGAAAATGAGTAAATCAAGGGGCTTAGAGAAGGAAGGGGATGCTCAGTCTCCCAACTCCTGCTCAGAGCTTTTTTCAATGACCCTAGTCATAGAATGCTGCTACTGAGCATGTGCTAGAGGCTACACTAAGCATCTTGACCCCATATGTACTCAGTCGTCACAGAGACCCCATGTGATAGATGTCTTCCTCCATTGCATTGACCAGGAAACAGAGACTCAGCAGCATCAGACAGCCATATCCAAGGTTATACTACAAGAAGGAAACAAAACCAGGATGTGAACCTGGGCATTCTGTTCCCAAGCAAATACAGTGCCATGGAATACTGCCTTCTGGTTCCACTTCAACCTCAGACCTCCACAATCAGGCAGCAGCCAGCAGGACACCATGTCCATGGACCCAGCCCTCCATGAAAGGGAAATCCCCCAAGTGGCCATGAATAATTAAGAAAGGAAGTCCTTCTCTAGACCTTTCCCTGGAGCTCCCTAACCCTCACCGAGAATACCCAGGGAGCCTGTCCACAGGCAGATCCAAGCCGACCCCAGAGATTCTGATGCAGTGGACCTGGGGCAGGCATGGGAAGGGGGGCTAAAACTCACCCCAGGTACATCTGGCACTGGTCACCCCCAATCCACACTTGGGGATACACTGCCAAAAACAGTATTTCTCTAACTTTTTTTCTTTTTTCTAATGCTGGGGAAGTGCTCTATCACTGAGCTTCATCCTCAGCCTCTCAAAATTTTTAAACCATGTGTCACAGTTAAAAATACATTGGACATCTCAATCCAATACACAAATACACACACTCAGGGAGCATAACTGAAACCCACTTCCTGAGATAGTTTCATCTATCACAGTATCTATGTCTCATCTCCTGGCATGCAGCTTGATATTTTTTGGCTCATTACAAACCCCTCCCCTCCCACACACAATTGCTTTCGTAACCTACCATTCCACCTATGGATCATATCTTCTGTTTAGAAAAAGGCAAAAATGCTGTCCTTTGAAAAATGTACTATAGCTTGATAAACTGAGCCCTGGTAGCTGCTGGCCCACTCCTACTCTATAGGGTTCCTCACTGCAAGTCTTGAACTTGACTCCTGGCCAAGAGCACCCAGTCATCCCAGCACAGCCCATTTACTCCTCATAGCAGATCATAGGCCCCCAAAGCTACCTGACCCTTGGCTGCAGTCAGGACTTCCTGACAGGAGGAACGTTGAAGAGTAGAGCAAACTAATGCTGGGAGAGGTAGATCAGGCAGAGTAACTCATAGAGAATCAGTTTCTCCGATGCCTAAAAGGGAGCAGAAAACCAGCTGGGTTAAGGCTCCCATTTGTTATCTTGAGTCCCCCAGCCTGTAGTGTTCTTGTGGAGTAGCAGCTGCCAGGCTCTGCTTGCACACCTGCAGGCTTGGAGAACCACAACTTCCAAGACAGTCTTTTCTCTTTTCCACAGCTCTGACTGCTTGAAAAATTGAGCTGAACTCAAGGAAGGCCATCTGCTGGCTGACCACAGCCCGGGGTGCCAGAGAGTTGTCAGGGCAGACAGTCTATCCCAAGGGACAACTGCTAGGGTGCCTAGCTGCTTTTGGTCATGAGTCAAGATCTGGACATGGAATGGGGAGCCTGGCAGAGCCAGACTAGAGGTCCTCCCAGAAGGAAATCATTCTTTCCATAGCATACTGCTCATTCACAGGCCACTGTGCTGAGCACTCTCAAACACGGTTGTATCCAGTCCTCATAACAACCTCTGAGGCAGAACCTGTTACCCCATTTCATAGAGGAGAATGCTAGGGGCCAGACTCATTATTTGTAGAGCTGCCTCAGGACCCTGTCATGGGTGGCAGGTCTAGGATGGGATCCCTGATCCCTCTGGCTTAAAACCTGCACTCCTCCTTCCTCTCTGTGGATCTCTAAACTCAGGTGTTCAGAGACATCACCCAGAAAACATGTTAAAAACTAGAGAAAGCTGCAGAATAGGAAAGAGAACTTAGCTCCTGCCTCAACTAATGGGCATCTCTTGGCTGCTTCAGACCGCATCGCTCGGAACCGCAAGACAATCGTGTGCCCAATGATCGATGTGATTGACCACGATGACTTTCGGTACGAGACACAGGCAGGGGATGCCATGAGGGGCGCCTTTGACTGGGAGCTGTATTACAAGCGGATCCCGATCCCTCCAGAACTGCAGAAAGCTGACCCCAGTGACCCATTTGAGTAAGTATAAGTGGCCCAGGCTCATCCCAGTGAGAGGCTCCAGGGCCCCTCCCAAAACACACAACTCGGGATTGCCACTTCTCTCAAAAATCCTAGCTTCACTCAGTACAGTGTCAGACATACCAAACAGAAGTATCACCCCCATCCCTCAGTCACACATCCTTGGCTCAAGTTAGTCAGCTCCAGCTTGGCACCTCTGCAAAGTCTGCCAGGGTTGCCAGCAGGGGTAAGTAGAGTGTCTCGTGCTGTCTTTCTTTTCAGCTTTGCACCAGTTGTAATCATCATCCTCATCATCACTATGTGCCAGGCACAGTGCTGAGCACTACTGCCCCCTTTTAGTCCCCTAGCAACCATAGGCAGCAGGCATTATCCATGTTTTCCAAGTGGAAGGGAACACCAAGTCTCCAGGAGGCTAAACACTCTGCTCAGGTCACACAGCTTTTAAGTGGCAAAGGCTAGTGTACATGTAGGTCTGCCTGCCTGGGGCCAGTTTTCCCATCAGCTTTTTCTGCCTCCTTGGAAGTGTTAGGGAAATAGCAGCCAAGTTGGGGTATGAACTGGACTTGCAACACCTCAGGATGTGAAGGCTGCAGGGAACTGGCAGGTGAGGAGTCAGAGGCTCAAGAGAGGGAGGGCTTGCCCCGGGCTCACAGTGGGCAGGAGCTGAGCAAGAACAGAGCTGCCCTCTCTACACTCTAGCTCTCTTCCTCAGCAGCAGGCTTGCTATCCCTGCAGCTGTCCTGTACATTCTCCTGGCTCTTCTGTCAGAGGGGTCAAGGAGATCTTTGATACAGAGCCAAAGAGACTCTTTTGCTATATTTGTTCCCTATTACTGCTGTGATAAATGACCACAAACTTAGTGGGTTAAAACAACACTACAAGTTCCTATGGTCACAAGTCTAAAATGAGTCTTACTGGCTAAAATCACAGTCTTGGCAGGGCTGCTCTCCTGGATGCTCTAGGGAGAATCCACTTCCTTGTCTTTCCCAGCTTCTACAGGATGCTCACGTTCCTTGGTTCAGACCCCCTTCTTCCATGCTCAAAGTTGTTTCCCTCCCCCCCTTGCTCCCTCCCCTCTCCTTTCATCATAGCATTTCCTTCTCTGCCTCTCCTGCCTCTTTTCATGGCTAAGCACTTGTGATTACATTGATACCTTGAGCTCACCAGGATAATCTCCCCATTTCAAAGTCCTTAAGCCTAATCACATCTGCACAGTCTCTTTTGCAGTGTAAGGTTACATATTCACAGGTCCCATGGATTAGGACATTAACTTATTGGGAGACCACAGCTGCCTCCTCACAGTTGGACCTCTAATAAACCAAGTTCTCTGTGCCTTACCCTTCCCATCTAAGAAGGGGGGCTGTTGGTGGCAAAGCCATTTCACAGACTGTGTTTACTGTGCTCCTAATAGGAGCCCCTGATGCTGTGGGCCCCAGAGAAGGTTCAAAAGGAGGAAAGGCTGGGTGCTGTGTAGGCAGATGGCTGGGTGATGGGGCAGCATGAGATGGGAGCAGATTCCATGTATGTCTTCTGCAAATCAGATATTTTCAGTCTTCTCCTGACCTCCTTCATCTTCAACATGGTCAATCACCACTATTAGACCCCTGCCTGGTTCAGAGATATGATTTAGACAAGGCCACATCATGCATTCAGCCCCAGTCTCCATACACCTCAGAGTCAATCTTCAGTTCACCTGAATTCTTGGAGAATAAGACTAATAGTAGAGCCTGGACATGGTGGTACACTCCTGTAACCATCCCAGCACTCAGGAAGCAAAAGCAGGGTTGAGTTCAAGGGCACCCTGGGCTATATAGCAAGACCTTCAAAAAAAAAAAATGGAGCAGCTAAGACAGGAAGATCTCAAGTTCAAGTACTATCTAGGCTACATAGCAGAGAGTAACTAACATTTGGCCCCAGATGGCAAAAACAATTTCAAACCAACATTGTACATGATCCTTACAACAGAGTCTTCGGTACAGGTAACATTATCCCAGTTGATAGCTGCAGACCCTCTGACTCAAAGAGGAAATGAAACTTGGGCAAATCAGCACAGTAGCAGAGACTGAAGTCAGAATGGGCAGCCCCAGAAAATGGAATTCTTTGGGCAACCAAGGGGTAACTCTTGGTTTGAACCTAAGCAGATCAATTGCCCTAGACTGATGAGGAAAGGCTGAGTCCCCATGATGCAGCTGGCTAGTTGCAGAGGCTCAGCCAGGCTCCTCATCTGGGTATTGAAGGGACTGGACTCACCCTCGAGCAGTGCCTCTCAGCCCTGACTACACATTGACATCATCTGGGGAGCTTGTTAGACATGCCCAAGCAGCCAGGTGTGGTGGCTCACTGCTGTAATCCTAGCTACTTAAGAGGCTGAGATCAGGAGGCTCATGATTCCATGCCAACCCAGGAAAAAAAAGTTCAAGAGACTCAGCAACAACAAAAAAGAACTAGGTGTGATGGTGCATACCTGTTGTCCCAGCTCTGGCAGAAAGCATAAAATAGGAGGATCCTGGTTCAGCCCTAGTCAAAAACTAAGACGCTATCTCAAAAATAATCAGAGAAAAAAAGAACTGGAGGTTTGACTTAAGCAGTAGCATGGCTCAAGCAATAGAGTGCCTGCATAGCAAACAGGAAGCCCTGAGTTCAAAACTCCAGTACCCGCCCCCCCCCCAAAAAAAGCTACCCAGGCCACACCTAAGTCTAATTACACTGGAGTCCTGGGAGAGGATATGGGCATCATTGTTTGGTGAAGCTCCCAAATGTTTCTGAGGTGTGGCCAGAGTAGAGAACCACTGGCCTAGATCTTTCTGAGGGACTCTCTATCCTTTGCATCCTCCAGTTCACTCCAAAAGCCTCTCTTCTGTATTGAACTTTAACAAAACCCCAGAGAGAGGACCCTGGAGAAATCCTGGTCATTTTCCACATGCCTCCACATGGTGCCTGATAAATGGGCAGTCCACAAGCACTGCCATGGTGTAGTGATGTTTTAAAGACATAGGTTTTGGTGGCAGACCCCAGTTTGAATCACAGCTCATCTACTTGCTAACTGCATGCCCTTGGTCAGGTTTTCCGAATTACCAAATTCTCCATCTGTTAAAGAGGCTGGAAATAGAATCTTATGAGCACTGAAGATAGAGTGTGTAAATGAGTAGCATGCACTAGCCACTCAGAATTGTTATTATTGCTGAACACAGCAGAAAACAGCACAGGATAGGAGGCATCCAAAATGCCTCAGGCTAATACCCGGCCTGCCATTGGCTTCCATCCAGGCCAATTTTCACGTGCAGTCTTGGGCCTGATTTCCTAGGAAGCACCAAGTCAGAAACAATTCTTGCCTCCCCAAGCTGAATTTAACACTTCAGCCAAAAAACCCAAACCCCACAATCTTCAGAAGACAAAGGGGAGCCTACATGGGTGACACTGTGCCTTCTTAAAGTATTGGCTACTTTTAGAAATGTACTTATGATGTAAAATAGGAAGTGCAGCTATTCCTCCTTTGTGTAGATGAGCAGTCAGAGCCAAGAGGTTACATCAGCACTATCCAATGGAACTTGAGCCACATGTGTGATTTTTAACTGGAAAAGATAAAGAGAAAGTCTAGGGTATAGCTCAGTGGTAGAGCACTTGCTTTATATGTGCAAGGCCCTGGATTCTATCCTCAGCACCACAGAAAACAAAAAAAGAAAGATAAATAAGTAAACATCATTTTTAATATTTTATTTAAACCAGTACATCTAAAATATTATTTTATAGGTATATATTAAATTGTACATAGTAAGGGGTTTCATCATGACATTTCCATACATGCATGCAATGGAATTTGATCATATTCACCCCCCCATTTTTCTTTCTTATCCCCTCCTTCCTTTCCCTTTCCACCACCTTAGTAGTCCCTCTTACTTTCATAACTTTGGTGTTTTTGTTTGTTTGGGTTGTTTGTTCGTCTGTTCTTCCCCTAGCTTCCACAAATGAGCAAAAATACTTACCTTTGTGGGACTGGCTTATTTCACTCAACATCCAGTTCCATCCATTTTCCAGAAAATGACATAATTTCATTCTTCTTAGTGGCTGAGTTATTTTATCCTGTAATAAACACTGAAATCATTGAGGAGTTCTTTTATACAACTTTTTTCATGCCAAGTCTCAGAAATCACATATGTTGTCTCATGCTCATAGCACATCTTAGTTCAGACCAGTCCCATTTCAAGTGCCTGGTCATCACCTGTGGCCAGTGGCTGCCATCCTGAACTGCACAGTTTGACATCACCTTGTATGACACAGCTGGTTAAGAAGAATAGAGACTAGATGTGGGGGTAAGGGAGCAATTTCTGTTCCCCTGTCCTTTCCACTCTCACCCACTGCTCCATTGTTCCTTCCTGAGGGAGGCCCGGTGTTGTGGTAAGGGATGTGGATTGTGGCTTGGAGGACAGATTCACATCTCAGCAGTGTGACTAGTGACTGTGGAGCCTCAAGAAAGTTACCTGTCTGTGTTCCAGTTTTATCTGTGCAAGATTGAAGTGCATGATAATGAGGCCTATCTCTTGAGGTCACAGAGAGGAGTAAATTTGTTTTGTTAAGAAGTAAGTTTAGACTCAGGAGGCAAAGGTAGAAAGATCTTGAATTCAAGGCAGCCTTGATAAAAAGAAGTTCAGTATAGCACCTGGCATATTCAGGCCCTCAGTATATCTTCAAGGGGATCCTTTTCAAGGAGACACTCTGTGCTACAGAAAGGCTGGGGTGGCATGATCTTTTCACATCAGCCCTCTTCCCAGGGCCAGCCTGGGAAATGGAGTGAAGGCTGCTACTAGGACGTTTGGTTTGAAAGTTTGGAATTTTCCAGTGGATCCAGACAGGGACACAGCCACTCTGATAGATTTTTCACACAGCAAACACTAATTGAGTACTGCCAGGTGCAGGCCTGTGTAAGGCAGCACTAGGATCTCTGTGCCTTGCTGATGCCGCTTCCTTCCTGAATGTCTTCCTGTTGACCATTCTCCACTGTACAAAGCACTTGAATGCCACCCCTCTGAGCATCCTTCCTAGCCCAAACCCCTCCCTCCTTCTCATTCCCCAAAACTGGAGGCACATTCCTGGAGTGCTCGTCTATACTTCCTGGAGGCCCTTATTAGACTCCACCTGTCTTCTGAATCTTTCCATGCTGAGATAGCTGCCCCACTACACTCCTTCATAGTGGCCGTCAGTGAATAAACCCATGAGAGAATGAATGAAAGGAGCTAATCTTACTTTCCAGTTTAACTGGAAGAACATAGACTGGCTTCTTCTGTAGATATCACAGCAGAACAAGTGTCTGTGTGCTAGGCTCACTTAATGCAAATCATTGAAAGAGTGTGGTTGAGAACACCCAATCTCCACCCTCCCCCACCAGAGCTTGTTTCAATAGGTCTAAAGAGGGTCCAGCAAGCTGTCTGTTTTTCATCTAAGAGATTCTACAGCACAGACAGACTTGGAAACACCTGTTCAGGCCATGTAATGAGGGGGAAACTATATTCTCCAGCTACAAAGCCCATGGGGGAGAAAGTACTACTGTGATTTCAGTTCACAAGTATTCTCAGGTGAGGATAATCATGTAAAGGAACTCTGAATCTGTTTGGTTAAATGCAGCTTTTATGAAGGGAAGTGACAGGCAAGAAAGAGGATAGCCAGGGATCTCACCCAGAAGGGATTTGGCATTATAGGTAGACAAGCTATGTTCAAGAAGCAGTTTAGAATACCATCAGTGACCTGGAGAACAGGGTCATCAGACTGCACCACAGGGCACAGATAGGACAGCTGTGTCTTCACACCATGTTGTTCTTCTCTGACAGATCTCCTGTGATGGCTGGTGGGCTATTCGCTGTGGATCGGAAGTGGTTCTGGGAGCTGGGTGGTTACGACCCAGGCTTGGAGATCTGGGGAGGGGAGCAGTATGAAATCTCCTTCAAGGTGAGCACACACTCCAGAAGCCTCCTTTTCTTGGGCAGTTTTCTTGGTCCTGATCCTGGTGGGCTGCATGCTTACTGTCTAAACCTGGAAAGACTCAAGAGGCCACAGGGTTCTATAACCCCTCTGCTCCTCAGGTGGAGAAGTCAGGAACCAGTGGGTAACTCCTTGGCAGGGGGGCAGTGAAGGTTGGGACAGCATGGGGTCTACCTTCAGGCTGCCAAAGACTGGTCTCCACCACAGCTGACTAGCATTTGCCTTGCATCTCTTCTTAAGATGTCAATACAGGAAAAGTCTCACTAAGTCAAGATGCTGAGTCTGTGACTGAGATGCCCAGCAGGCCAGCAGTGGGGTAGAGGAGCCAGGAAAGCCAGACACCATACACAGGCTAGCTGAATGCTCTGCTCTGACAACATCCGTGTGGCCTCCCAAATTCCAGGCTGGCCTTAGTGGTTCCTGGCCAACCTCAAAAGTCTTCCCTTTCACATCTGTCAGGAATTTGACAAAAAGACTAGTGGATAAAAGCTCCAATCATGGGATAGGAAAGATCTAAATTCAAGTCTCAGTTCCATCTGACTTTGGGCAAGTTATATTAATTTGCTTTACTCTCTTTTCTCATCCAAAATACAGTAGTAATACTAAACTTTATAGAGGTCCTGTGAAGATTGAGTAATGTCTAGAAAGTGCTTAGAACACAACCCACAACACAGCCAGCAACTAATAATTGGCAGGAATTGTTAAAGATGCAGTGAATAAGCATTTACTATAATCTGTCTGATCGTGGGCTATAGAAGCTTTCTGACAGTGGTTATAAAGGAGTTAATTAGCAACAAATTGCCAGCTAGTAACATGGGTCTACAGTCTCTTTTTTGTGGGCTTCTGTCCTGTTCCCAGGTAAAGAAACTTCAGCCTATATGAGGGGAAGGTTAGTTTGTCCTGTGTCCTTGTGGTCCACTAGAGCCAACTTCCAGCATGTGAAGGACCTAGCCAAGGCAAATCCTCAGCCCTCGAGAGACAGCACTGTAACTGAGCTGAATCCTGAGTTGGGCATCAAGTTTCAATGCAAAGGGCTATTGTCAAACACAGTGATGAAGACTTTGGAGTTAGCAGCAGACAGCCAAGATTAGATCCTAGTTCTGCCACTTCTGCCAGCTGTGTGACCCTAGACAAGTACTCCTCACCTCCTGAGCCTCAGTTTTTGCTTCTATAAATTGGGTTTAGTGATACTTTAACCTCTATAGGTTGTTGAGAGGATTAAATGAGAACATGCTTATTATGTGCTTTTTAATAAGTATCCTAAAGATTATTATCACTTTCAAATATTAGTTCTGAGCAATTCAGAACTGAGAAACACAAATTCTTGATTAGGAAAAAAAAACCAACTACCTAGAATTCTACTGGTATATTATTTTGTTTTAAGAAGAGGAGGATTGCTTATTTGTTTTTTATTTTTCTAGTTTTGAAACAGAATCTTACTGTGTAGTCCAGGGTGGCCTGGGACTCGCCATCCTCAGCCTCCCAAGTACTGGGATTGCAGGTGTGTACCACTATGCCTGGCTGAAATATTGTTTTGGTTTCAAAAGCAGCCTGTGTCTGTTTTAACCTCCAGATCTCTGAAATTGTCTCCCATGAGGGGCCAGTCCCTCAAATAAACTAATATTAATATCCAGGATGATACTCAAAAAATAACTATGATGGAACAACAATAAGCAGTAAGACAGAACAGATGCTACTGTAAACAATGTGCATCCCCTTTGGTGTGTCACAGCTGAATTCCAGTCCTGGCTGGAGCTATCAGGACAGTATGCCTGGCCCTTCACACTTGTTGGCCTATTTAATCCTCATAACAACCTAGTAGAGTGGTGAGAACCACTACACCCACCTCACAAGGAGGCAAGTACAGCTCAGATCACCCAGTAACTAAGCCAGGGCCTAAACCCAAGCCTGCTGACCCTAACACCTATGCTTTGGCCCACTGAGTTTCATGGGCCTCTTTTGGGGACATCAGAGAAGTAATTTGAGAGGAAAACTAGCCACCTTTGGTCCATTGATAGTGACTGCCCAAGTTCTGAGCTGATATGTATTCTGAGGCTGCATCCAAGCTCATCAGAAAAAGTAATGATTGGTTAGTCATGTCCACCATGGGTGTGGGGTTAGTGTGTGATGGCATAGGTATTCAGTATCCATAGCCAGTGCGATCTACTTTTCCAAATATGTTCCATGGATACAGTGAAGCCACACCAAAGGAATCAACAGAGTTTAACTTCAAAGTTCCCCATTCTGTCACTAGACATTTATTTATGAAGCATTCTTCCAAGTTTGTTCCCAGAAGTGGGCCCATCTAAATTGTGAATTCTCACCAGGATGTAAACTTCAGTGGGTCAGGGGTCATTTTGTGTTTTACTCAATGCTACATTCCTAGTGCCTACAGGACTGCCTGACATGGAAAGACCTCATCAGCATCTGTTGGCTGAATGCTCAGAGCAGCTGTGTCACTGGCCAGAATGAGCTCCACACTCCCCTAGCTCCTCAGTCTACAAGTCCGCCTTCAGAAACTCCCTCTATAAAACAGTGAATAAAGAAAAATATGCACAAAGGGATTTCTGGGACCAAAATGATTCCATTCTGTGGATTTCAAAGACCCATCTAATATTATTCATCAGGCAATTATGGCAGAACAAATGCCATTTTTCTCCACCCAGTTTTATTTACAAAAGACTTAGTAATGAAGCCATATTGGAAGTCTCTCATCCAGGAGTGGGAAGGAGGCTGGCTCGTGTTTCCATTTGATCCAATTATGTCTGTCAGTTTCCAGGGGAAATGAGATGGTGTAATGAGGAGGCCCCAAGGTCTGGAAGGGAGACTTGTCTGCTTTGGCTCTCCCCCTTGGCTTTGAGAACACAGGCTCTAGAGCTAGCCACCGCCCATCTGACAGTGCACTGTGCACAGCTCCTGAGGAAGGCCTGCCTGTGGGTGAGGGGCCTAGATGAGCAATTCATCTGCCAGAGCTGGGCATCTACCAAGGGCCATATTTCCTCTGATTAATCTTTGCTAAGATCCCCCATTTTTCTTGATAACAGAGATAAGACACTGGTCGGAAATTAAGAGAAATTGGTATGTGCCATCAGGACTGATGGATGAATAATTTGGCTCTGGTTCCAGATCACACATTTATCCTGATGGGAAACCCTCAGAAAAGATGTTCCAAGGGCTCAGAAACTTTCAGGAGTCATTGGTTCTTCCTCTCCCCAACCCCAAGCAGAGGTTTTATTCCCAGAGACACAGCCACACTTTCAGAGTTCCCCTGCTTGGTGGTTAGAATCCTCTCAGTTCTCATGGTTGGATAAATAATGAACTCCAGTAAGGTCCTTTATGAGCTGGCCCCTTACTTCTCTCTCTGCCTTCCCCCTTTGCCTCTTATCCTGTTGCATTAGTCTGGACTTTCTGTTACAGGTGATCAAAACCAAGTCAATCTGATTTATGCAAAAAAACAGAATTGATGGGCCTACACAGCTGAAATTCCAGGGCAGATATTATAGGCTGGATCCAGTGACTAGCCCCTTCATCTGGGCTCAGTCTGTCTCAGACCCTTGGCTCAGCTTTCATCTAGGTTGGCTTCCCTCTCAGGGAGGCTTTGTCACCTAGAGTTCCGCAGCGGGGACTTTCTTCAGAAGTCTCCAGATTGATCTCCTTGGCCTGCTGGCCCCTTAGCCATCCCTGAGCAACATCCTAACTGGCCAGCCACAGCCAGGCCCATCTGGGGCCAGGAGAAAACATGTGGATTTCTGCCATGGAAAGTCCACGTGCTGTGCACAGAAGGGGGAATGAATGTGGGACAGGGAAAAGCACAGATACCCCTCACCCAGCCCTACAGAACTATCCACAGCAGCAGGCTCATGTGCTGGGCTATTTTTGGAAGCCCACACTGTTCACTCTCCCTGAAGCATCTTTCCTTGGTCTGGTTAATCCACTAACCCTCTGATCCCAGCTCACACAGGTGGCCTCCTATGGGCCTTACCTGAATCCTTGTCCTGCTTAAAGACCACTCCAACATGTGGGCTCCTCCTCCCCATATCTCCACTTTCCCAGCATGGCTCTGAGTCCCTATGTTGACATGCCCCAAGGATCTGCCTCTCTTCTCTGGAGGTAATGAGTAGATCTTGTTTATCTGTAAACCCCCAGTCCCTGGCTCACATGGGTATTTTAAATACTGATGCTCCTCAATTTACAATGGAGTTTTATCTTGATAAACACACTGTAAATTGAAAATTCTGTAAGTCAGAAGTGCATTGAATCCACCTAACCTACTGAGCATCACAACTTACCCACACAGCACACTGGAGTGTCAGCTATTTCCCCTCACGATCACAGGGCTGCCTGGGACCTGTGGCTCTTGTGCTTTCTAGCACCAAGAGAGGGTCTTACCACATGTTGCTAGCTTGAGAACAGACCCAAATGCAAAGTATGGTTCCTACTGAATGTCTATCATTTTTGCACCACTGTAAAGTTTAAAAATCCTGAGGCAAACCATCCTAAGTTGGGGACTATCAGTTAGTGGCACTTCCAAGTGATAAAACTGCACTGCTCTTCCCAGACTTAGGGCACCATCTTTGGGTAACAGTATGTGGTGGACGAGGAGCTCAGTGAGAAGGCAGGGCCTGGCTTCTGTCTCTGTTCTCCATCTATCTAGGGAACCTGAGCCAAATACTCCGCCTCCCTGGCCCTTGCATCTAGATGATGCTATCCTGTTTTCCTTCCTACCCCATGAGGCAGAACCTTTGGCTTACACAGCTAAGGAGAAGGGTCTTAGAGGTGGCTGCGGAAGGATAAGCAGGGAGGGGACTTCACAGTATCCCATGGTTCAAAATATCTTCAACTATAAACTACAGGGGAGCAAAAGTATCCAAGCAGAACCACTTTATGGGCTTCGCGGCATTGTAAGTGGATGTACCTTTTGTAAACAGCAACTTTCCAAAATCTGTTACATTTCAGGGCAAGCACAT